CCAGAGCCAGGCAGGGAGAACCCCCCAGGATTTGGGATTGGGATTTCAAAATGCTGGCAGGGGTGGGAAAGTCCTAAAAAACAGCGGAAAAGCCCTAAAACCAGGTAAAAATCCTAAAGCCAGGTAAAAGAGTCCTAAAAGGAGGTAAAAGCCTCAAACCAGGGGCAAGACCTGAATTCCATTGGAATTCAGGGTGGGGGGAATTAGGGTCAAATCGATTGTTCTTTTTTTTCCCTTGTTTTCTCCTTTTCCCTTTATTACCTCATTTTTCTCTTGTTTTTTGTTTCCTTTTTCTCTGATTTTTACGTGTTTTTTCCTGGCTTTTTTCCCTTTTCCCTGATTTTCCCTTTTTTTTTCCCCCACTCTTTTTCCTGTTTTTTCCCTTTTCCCCGATTCTCCCGTTTTTTTCTGTTTTTTTTTTCTTTTCCCCTGATTCTCACATTTTTTGCTTGTCTTTTTCCACGTTTTTTACCCAATTCTCATGGGTTTTTCCATCTTTTTCCCCTTTTTCCTGATTCTCCCGTTTTTGGCCCCAGAGCCTGCGGCGCCGGGCCGAGCGCAGCGCGGAGAAGAAAGCGGCGCCGTTCACGGCAGTGCTGCGGCAGCACGGGATCCTGCTGTAACCAACCCAATAGGGGCTGTAATAAACCCAAACTGGGATACACTGGCAGTGGCCGGCCACTGTTTTGGGGTGGTTTCAGAGATTTTGGCGATTTTATTAAACCACGGGCGCGCAGCACCAAAGCTGCTGCGGTCACTCCGGGGTCACTCAGGAGGGTTAGGGGTCACTTGGGAGGGTGGCTGGTCACTCCAGGCAGTCAGTGGTCACTCCAGAGGGTGGCTGGTCACTCAGGAGGGTCAGTGGCCGCTCCGGGTGGTCAGTGGTCACTCCGGAGGGTGGCTGGTCACTCGAGAGGGTCAGTGGCCGCTCCGGGTGGTCAGTGGTCGCTCCGGACAGCCGCACCCCCACCTGGGCCCGCGCCTCGTCCAGCAGCTGTGCAATGACCTCGCTCTCGGCCAGCGGCATCTCGGGGCTCTCAGTCAGTCCTGGGTCACCCCAAACCCGGCATTCACCCCAAAATTGGGGGTTTCACCCCAAAACCCCGGGGCTTTCCCCCAAAACCTGTTGTTCCCCCCCAGACCCGTTGTTTTGCCCAAAACAGTGTGGTTTTGCCCCAAAACCTGTTGTTCCCCCCCCCAGACCATTTTATTTTGCCCAAAATCTCATTATTTCCCCCCAAACCTGTTATTTTGTCCAAAACCCCAGTGTTTTCCCTCTGAAACCCATTGCTTTCCCCCCCCCAGACCCATTACTTCACCCCAAACCCCGTGGTTTCCCCCCAAACCCCATGGTTTCCCCCCAGACCCATTTTTTCACCCAAATCCCTGCGTTTCGCCCCAAAAGCTCACCCCGGAGCAGGCAGTCCCGCACGTGCTGTGCCTCGTAGCGCAGCCCGGCGCCGTGCGGGAAGTTGGGGGGCTCGGCCAGGGCGGGCAGCGGGAAGCGCTCGCGGTGACCCCCCCAGAGCAGCTCGGTGGGGCAGTTCATGTGGCTGGGCAGCTG